ACATTGTGACCCAAACATTTGGTACAGAGATGCTGCCAAAAGTATGCATTAAATTCCTCAGTAACAGACATGACTAATCACTGATCCAGTGGACCAACAAGTTCTTTCTTCAATATAAGCAGAGGATTATTCAGTTGTGTGAAAATTCACAGCCAAGGTGTGAAGATTCATAGTTAAGGGTATATCTTCACACTAATAGGGCTTATTAATCACATCTCAGTAAACACTGAGGATGTTTTGTTAGAAATTACTTCCTGAACCACAGAAAACTGTGATATTGAAGTCTGATAGCCTGTGGGTAGAGGAGCATAGTGTCTAATACCAGACTGACTGATATGAAATTGCTTCTTGATGCCCAATTCACTGTGGGAAACACAGCACCAAAAGCCCAGGACTCTGAGGTAAGTATACCCACAGGTTTCAGAGTACCTTACGGAAGAAGAAAACCAAATTTATTCAGAAACAATCTGAATGCTGTGTAGAAATAAATATTTAATACTGAAGGTTGCCTTAAGGAAAAATAGACCGGGAAACAATGGAGTAAAAGCCTCAGGACGGGTGCAAAAGATCTTCTCCCAAGCTCCTACTTTTCCCCAGTTCAACAATCTGTCTGTCACATTGATAACCTGTCACCAGATGGATATAGAAACCACATCTTTAAAACATGAGCTGGCAGAGCATAGTGGAGGGTACAGTATATGTATGTGTGTGTGTGTGTGTGTGTGTGGCGTCATCTGCACATCTCTTCGCAGTGAGGGTTTCCCTGAGTAGATCATTTGTTCATCATTTGTTGCGCACACAAACACACTCACACTGAATAAAGTCACAAATTACAGCTTGTCGTGTTAATACCAGCATCTAAAACCAGATCTACGATGTTTAACCTTTACCATTCCCACAAGATGACAGATGGGACACGGCATGTATGTGTTCCGGCTCCAGGGAAAAAGGACAGAAATAGTTTATGTGCAGGAGCAGAAATATGTGCAGTGTAATCATATATACGGTGCACATTTTGCATATAGCCTAGCCTCCGTAGAAGGGCAAAATCAGCGGCACACAAATTCAGGATTTCTAAATTAGGCTCCAACTACAGTAGCAGCTCTTGCATGAAAAAGTCGAAAGAAATTAACTCCTCGACCCCTCGACACTCAACACTGACACAAATCAGCAATTTCAGTGACAGAGCCTGCTGCTGACTGGGCATTTGGTTCAGACACAGATGACTTTGCCACCCCTCCCAAGGCTTGTTTGTGGGATATGTAGCACTTATACCCACCAATATCCGCTGGGTCAGGGTTCGCATTGACTTTCAAAATTACAGGGTCAAGTTCTGGATTACTGTACTGCATTTTGGGCTCACAGAAGAGGTGTAACTCCAGAGGGAATGCAAAGGTCATTGTATTAGTGCAGCAATTTCAGGCTACATAGATGACAGCAAAACAGCTACAGCAGGAATGATATTCCTCATACTTTCTGTTCATGGCAGCAAACTTTTCAAGCATTATCCATCTCTACATCCTCACACCTTCCCAAATCTGAAAAGACTGCCTGACTTTCATGCTGCTGGTACTTTTGTAAACAACAGATATGATTGAGACAAAATTTCCAATCTAGCAAAGCACTCGAACAATAATCAGCAGGGCTGGGGCAAAAAGACTCGAGAGAAACAGAGGCAGGTAAAGAAAACACTAAAGCACAAGTGATACTGGATTTTTTGATCAAATGCCAATATTGACAATTGAGATGAATATCTGTGTAATGGGACACTGGCCAACGCTAATGTAACATAAACAACATATTTTAAAAGGGTTCAACATTATTCTCAATTTCAGGATGGTCGGATGAAAACGGGAATAAGAAGATGGCTCCTTGGGCTCTGGGAAGTTATAATGGGTTAGGGTTCTTCTGACATTTTATAGACAAATCGTTAATCAATTAATAAAAAGAAATAATCAGATTAATTGATAATGGAGTAGTTGCACCCCAATACTAAACTCTAAACATTAAATACAGTTGTGTATTTTGAACAAGCCTGTTTTATGATCTTATCATAACTAATCATCATTATGTATCATTTATACTTGATTTCAGTACTTCAGTACTTGTTTCCTTCTATGCAATGAAAGCTACCGGGAAGCTTTTCCAGTCATTATCTATGGTATATCAACAGATTAGAGCTGACACATTTAGTTGATTAATCAATCAGTAGGTGGACAGAAAACTATTTTGATGATTGATTGATCAATCATTTTCATGGCAGAAATGCAAATCTGACAGGCAAATAAGCTAATTTGCATTCTGGGAAATTTTAATGGGATGTTTTTACAACTGTCTTATATTTTATAGACAAAGAGATGAATCCATTAACTAATCAATCAGAATAATTGATAATGAAAACACCTGCTGCCCTACAACAGATTAAACTCCAATCAAAAATGACTTTACAAAACAAAGTCAGAAAGTTTATAGAGGAGAAGTGTAAAAGTGTACGCAGAGCCGAGGTACCAGCAGCGACTGTGTCCGCAGTGGGTCTTTTTTTTTTTTTTTTTTTACATCAACAGACTCAGATCAGCTTATACATCAGTTCATTAGGCACCTACTTACCATGAAAAGGCCACCATGACCACAAAACAACCCACCACCCACACTGTACATATTTGTCTCTCCTCTCTATCTTAACCTCCTACCTCTCTCTCCCTCCCACACACACACACACACACACACACACACACACACACACACACACACACACACAGCGTTCTGTTTAATCAAAATAGACCTGCCCTTCAACACATTTACATGTCTCATAATGGGGGAGACTCACTACGGAGCCCGTCATTACGCGCACCATTAAAACACAGCAGTAGACTAATCTAGCGCTTCCATAAGGGACAGCAGCAGCAGCAGCAGGAGGAGGAACAGGAGGAGTAGCGGTAGAGGACGTGGGAGTGCAGGCTGATAGGGGATGTTGCAGGAGGAGCAAGAAAGGAAGCAAAAGGAAGGTGAAGAGGAACAAACTGAAGAGGTGGAGGCGTTTTTTTTTAAAAGACACTGTAGGAGATGAAGAGGAGGAGAAGTGGCAAGGGCAATAGGGAGAGAGAAAGAGCAGGAGGAACAGAAAGGAGGCAGCGTGGTTGACAGTTTTGGATGTCGGAGGGGTAGTAGGAGCAGGGGGTGCCGCAGGAGCAGCAGGCGGGGGTTAAGAAGTGATGCTTGGCGAGGAGCAAAGAGATAAACAGTAGACGATGCTTGGGGGAGGAGAACACTCTTGAGGAGGAAGAGGAGTAAGTGATGCTTGAAGAGGAGCCGCAAGAGTAGGATCTGATGCTACAGGTGGAGATGATGCTTGGAGAGGTTCAGCACCAGGAGGTGATAACAAGAAGGAGCAACAATAATTGATGCTTTAGAAGGAACCGTAGGAGGTTCAATAGGGAGTACCAACATTAAGAGAGGCTAAAAGAGGAGCCACAGGAGGTGGAGGGGAGAAATGGGAGAAGCAGTAAGTTGTGCCAGAAAAGGAGTAGAAGGAGTAGGATGTTATGTTTGATGAGAAGGAAGAGGAGTAGGTGAATCTTAGAAGCAGGAGCAGAAGCTTGGTTAGGAGCACTAGAAGGAGCAGGAGGTGATGTTGCAGCACTAACACAGTGATGCTAGGGGAGAAATGTCAGAAGGAGCAATAATGCTTGGGGAGGAGCAGCAGCTGCAGTAGTTGGAAATGGAGCAGCAGGAGGTGATGCTTGAGGAAGAGCAAGGGGCTGACTCTGTGCGAGGAGCAGCGGGAGCATCAGACGGTCATGCTTTTAGAGAAGTAGCAGGAGGTGGTGCGGTGCAGCAAGAGAAGTAAGAGGTGATGTTTGGAGAGAGGCAAAGGGAGAAGCAGTAGGTGATGCTTGGGGAGGAGTAGGAGAAGGAGCAGGGAGAGTAGTGGGTGAAGCATGAGGAAGAGCAGCAGGAGTAAAAAATGTGATAGAGAGGAAACAGCAGCAGGTGATGCTTCGGGGGAAGAAGCCGTACCGAAGTGCAACAAAAGAGGCAGAAGGTGATGTTTGTAAAAGAACATAGGGGGGTGGATGATGCTTCGGGGGGAGAAACAGCAGGAGGAGTAAGAGGTGATGTTGATGAGGGGTGGGAGGAGGAGAAGTAGGGGAGGTGGCAGCTTCTACATGGAGTAACTGAACACCTGTGAGCTATAATTATGGTTCACTTTGCTGCTCCAGGTGAGCAGCAGCGTGTGTGTTAATAGACACAACAGTGCACTCAGGAGGGAACACACTCATGTTTTATGTGAATCAGTATATCCAAAGAACATTACGTACCTTTAATGCAATAAGTTTCTGGGTGAACACCTGACACACTTTAAGCCTCTAATATTACACACTGCTCTAGAATTTAAAAAAAAATGTGATGGGAATAAACATATATATTATGTCATTTCATGCTTGGTGGTTATTCTGCATGTGTTTTATGTCCTTTGGGATAATTAAAAAAAGAGAACTGTGCTATGGAGAACATTTTAACAACATGATTGTATGAATGTAGATACATTTTAAAAAGGAGGAGGAGCAGAAGCACACAAAGCCTGCAGGTTACTTTTCTTACTCGGACTGTGACACATTGGCGATGAAGACAGTATCTTAACCTCCAGTGAGGCGCAGTTGCATTCCTGTACTGCCCAAAAATCCCACTGCTGGGAGGCAATTATCTGAAGCCCAAACACACCCAGCTCACCCTGAGGAACAGGAAAACTTCTTGTCATCAAGCTTACAGCAATATCAGTTAAATATCACAATACAGCCTGTAAGTGTCTGCTGGAAAGCTACAGAGACACACAGTTAAACTTTAGGAATATAACTGTAAGAATGTAACAAGGATAATGAAACAATACATGTGAGTTGACAGAGCAGCCTTGCTTTAACCACAGTTAGTGCATACATTAATCCAAGCCTTCACCCTGCATCATCTGAACAGAGAAAAATGTCCCCTCTTTGCACACCTACCTTCCACTGCGCACACCGAAGTAATCACACACAGGAGCACCGCAACCCAAGTGGCCGGCATGGCCAAAGTGACTCCCCGCCTGTCCTCTCCCATTATCCGGCTGACAGGAAAAGAAAAGATCCCACAGAAACACGCTGTATTCCTCCGGTTTAACAGTCACATCTCAACCCCTCAGTGTGTGTCTCTGTGTGTGTGTGTGTGAGTGTGAGTGTGTGATCTGCACCGGCAGAGTCAGCGGGGACTGAAGCCGACAGACTGCTGGTGGATCTCCGCTCTCAACCTCTTCTTTCTCACACCTTCCCCGTCCAATCAGGAGAGAGTACGGCGGAATGTAAACCAATCACCCGTTCTTTTCCACCTGACCCAAGCTGAAAGCCCAATGGTCAGGTCTCCCCCCCGCCCCGGCGTGGTTGGCTGTGCGGTCGGACAGCGACGCCCAGCGGTCAGACTGCGGTACAGCAGTTGGGCTGGTATTTAAAGAGGGGTTGAGGCTGATCCCCCCCCTCAGGGATAGGGCTCGTGCCTCATTATGAAATAGATGGGGGGGGGTTGTGGTCTTTATGTAAGTATGGTGCAGTAATAACACGTGTGACCAGATTCTCTTTTGCAGTGGCTCTCAAACTGGAAGGGCATATAGCCACTGTCGGGGGGGTCACCGGGGGGGAAATGTGGAGTGGATGAAGTTAATGGAATATAAATATTGTATTTGGGGAAAATAAATAAACAAGAATTTGCTGATCCTGTTCTGTCCTGGCCTAAAATTCAACTTGAATCTTTAATATTAGTTTTGGTTTCCCTTTTATTGTTAATGATTGCTAAAAATTGGGGGTGTGGGACATTTTACAGCTTCTGAAGGGGGGGTATGCCAGAAAAAGTTTGGGAAAAAACTGCTCTAGACTTTTTGCAACACTTGTGTTTCAAGCTCCGGGTTATTGCTCATATCTGCCTGCAGCATTAAACCCCATACTCACCTATTTTTCACCCACACAGGTGTTTTCACTTATTTCTTTAACCAAAAAAAGTCTTCTCTCAGGACTATGTGTGCAGGCTGTGTTTGATTAGTTGGTTTTGTTTCACCTGTTTGGGTGAGACACCTTCCACCTTTATCATTCTTAGAGGCCTTTTTCACAGCGCACATTTTGATACGTCATTGCAAGAAAACAGCTGCAATCTACTTCGCTTTACCTACGCCGCGGTGCGCAGTGGCTCACTGACATGGCTGACGAATAGGCTATACTTAGATGGAACAGAGCCATCTTTAATAATAATTACACCTGTGCTTTTCCTGCTGTCTGCGGTGAAATGATGACCTCAGTGCAGCGCCACCAGCCTGAGAGCTTTAATCAGCCGGTGTAAGTGAAAACACCTGTGTGGGTGTGCAGAGTCTTTAATGAAGTAACCTTCCAGTCTACAGATACAGCCGCCAAGAATTGCCAGCTGGTTCATGACAAGTCCTTGCTTATCTGAATGGAATGAATGGATATATCCAGATATATACATATATGGCTGGAGGCGACAGGTCTGAGTGGCTTGTACTGAATATGAACATCCTTTTGGAGTCAGTCCATTTAAATAAATTAAAACTAATTCTTATCATGAAACCCTCACAATGAATTTAGACATGAAGTTTTCAAGGATTTATTACACCTTGAGGCTGCCCTGGACTGCGGGCTCTTTTTGAAAGTGACCACAATGACCAAATAAATTGATCAACAATCTATCAATACGCATTATATATGTTCATATTTACTTTTCATACTCCTAGCAGTCAGTGTAAACTATTTCCAGCATCCCACAGGCGGAGCACCAGGTGTTGGTCAGAGGGCAATCACTTGAATTATGTGTTACGTGAGAGGAGTGTTTCCTCTCAGGTGAATATAACAATTATGGATGCACCGATCTGATACACTGGATAACTATGAGCAAAGATACAGACCTTGTTAAGTGGATGGTGTATCTGACCTGACTTGTCAATATAAAATTGTACGTTTTCCAGTATCAGTTACAGTCATACCGTCACAACTCTGCTGTTGGTACCATAGCAATGCCTGGCTTTATCTTACCTTGCATTAAAAAGATTTTAATGGCGAGTGCGGTAAACAGAAATCTAAATCAGCAGTTGGCACTCTGAGTCGAGGTATTGGAATTTGTATCAGGAAAGAAAGAGTTGGATCGGTGCATGCCTCAAGGACTAAAGTTTGTCTGGCCCTCAGCAACAGCTGTGGCAACAATCTAAAAGTTTTAATGACAACTGCAGTATGAAAGCTGCAAACTTCACTTACTGAAAAATAAAGCTCAGATACTTTTCAGCCCCTGATGGCCTTGGATCAATTCACCCTTGAAGTCTCTGTCCTGTCTCGTGTCTCCTTCATCTCCTGCAGCTTCCTGTCTCTTACACTGTCTCTATAAAAGGAAAAAAGCTTCTCAGCAACACAACAGCACAGATCATTGCCGTGACACTGAATTCTCCAGCCCAGACAGTCCATTTGCAGCCTGTCAACGTGACATCTCACCTGTCAACAGCTTTTCATGACACTACACAATGTACCACTACAACAATCACCTTTATTCAGTGGCTATTGCATCCTGTACACATTGACCAGTATCTTAAAGAGTTGTGTATATGTCTGTGTGTAGGTGAGAGGCAGACAAAGAGAGGGAGATGCTTCTTATCTTAAAGCCAGCAGTTGGAAGCATTTCAAACCATCTAGAAAACACATCAGCGCTGAGTCTGTTTCTTTTTTAAACCACAGGTGGAGACCCAAAAATCGAATATTGACCCACTGGCAGCCACATGGACAAGAACAATTAGGTTTCAACTGCATCCAGAGTTAAGTTACATCTCTTAAATATGTGCAGTAAGAGTTTTGGAGCCTTTTGTTTAGAGGTAACTCTCACCCAGGGGAGTCAAAATGGTGAGTAAACTTTGATCATGGACAGACCGCTCAGGCAGGCTGCTGAGTGTTGATAAATCTTCCTCATTGTCTGGACGCAGCCAAGTAAAACCAACAGCGTGGTAGACTGTGGCTGCTACACATGTCCTCCCACATCTCAGTGAAATTCAGCTCAGATTCTACCTGTACTTCCACATCATTCACAATTACAGGACAAGACACATTTCAGGAAAGACACACGTGATGTAGAAAAAGGGTAAATTCAGACAGACGTTCAGATTGGGTCCGCTCTGTCACAGTCAAGATACTGACGTTGAGAAATGAAATGTGAGCCTTGTACACTGAAACATTTAAGACTTTTTTCCCCCCTCCATCATTTAAAAATAGAAACGTGTAGTGAAGTCATTGTGCCTGTGCATGTGCCTGCTGCTCTGTTTCATTCTGTTGTGCGTATCAGGAAAATAAATCATTAATTAATTCCAAACCCCCCGACTGGGGCAGGATTGTCATCCCCACATACAACACGTGGCCCCGTTATTCTCCAGCAGGGCCGCATGAGGCTTGTCAGTGCCTGTTACAGAGAGCTTTATGTTTATTTATAGCTGTAGTGCAGCTGGCAAGTTGAGTTTTTCTGGAAAAAATAGCAAAATCATCTCAGATTTGATATCTGGAAACAAAGCCACGGAGTGAGTCAGGGCTAAATCTTACAGGGGCAATGGGTGCTTGGTCATATCTCTGTGGCTAATGGATGGATACAGGAATGAAAAGTTGCATCAGAAGACTTCACACAGAGAGCAAGAGAGAGCAACAGAGAGCAACAGAGAGGCCTTAAAGGGGTACTCCACTGATTTAGCATTGCACTTCCATAAAGTTGGGAGACTCACAAGAAGAGACTTTTAAACAACAGTAAGAATCTACAGTCATGCTAAAGGCCCTGTGGCTGCTAACATACTGATATGATGCCAAATGTTTACCATATTCACCATTTTAGTGGCAAATGTTTGCAATTAGCATACAACATAATATACAGCTGAGTACTGGACACATTTGAATTTTGCCCTGATTGATGGCACTGGATGAAAGGTTAAGGGTAGAGCCCCCACCGATGTATCGATTGAGCGATATCAGCCTATTGCAGACATATCAGTATCGTATCAGTATGAATAGTTACTTTTCTGGTATATAATGCAGACAAAAATGCTTGTGGTATGTATTGGTGTCACTGGAAAGTTTATCCAGCAGAGTGCGCTGAGAGTCACAATCAATTCACAAAAAAATCACTATATTGGCCACCAGATCTGTACACTCCCCTCCAAAATCAATACTGGTATGGGTCTCAAAAATCTAATATACTGTACCAAGGCTGAGTCCTTATTGCAGTGACTATGGGTTTATCTCTCTGTCTCCCCTTGGCCTGTCTATCTTCAGCTGTCCTGTCAAATAAGGCAAACGCCTCAGAAATATATATATATATATATATATAAAATGGTGGTGAACCAACTGACAAACCAACTGTCAAAATTGAAGAGACAGAGGTAGCAATAGCCTGACTTTTAGTTCCTAGTATGTGTCAAGCTCCATAAACACTGGATGCCTTAATGCAACTCAATGGCATCGTTTTGTTGGACCATCTCTCCCTGGTAAAAACACATGTCTTTTTACTGTTTCTCCAACTTTTAGCCTCCAAGTCCAAGCCCCAGCTGATGACATCTATGTCAGGCTTATTTCTCAAACTTTATAAAACCACAGAAGAAACTATACCCTTTTTTTTATAAGGCCTAATACTCCTCACGCTGAGTAAACTGACCTTCATGGGTGAAATCGATGGAGTGCCCCTTTAAATAAAAATGTAGCTTTCTTTAATGGATACTCAATAATAATAATCAAATCAAAATGTACATGGCAAAATCCACTGCTACAATCAAACAGATTTTAATGAATGAAATGTGTGATTAAATACACTGATGGATAAAAAAGATCAGCTTAATACACAACCCCAGTGTGTGTCAGTGTGTATGTGCAAAAGACTTGCGTGTGAATCAGAAGTCCCATATGTACCAGTATAGTAGTGTAGACTGAAAGAAAGGCATGCCGAGTAAATGACATATCACCAGGCAAATGTATACATGTTGTCAATATTTTGCAAATATCCTGTACTGTATGTACAAAAACGGAACTTTTTAGGAAGGGAAGTGAAAACCTTTGTTTTCTTTTAACATTATGCAGCTATAAAACCTGGTGAAAGGGTTGCAGCTAATGTTCAACGTACTTGGGGCAATGTCTGCTGTCAAAAAATGTTTAAAAAAAGTGTAATAAGTGCTTTGGTTTGACCTACTGTATATCAGCCACTGCGTTGCTTCTAAACTTCATTTCAATCCGTTACCTAACGCAGGTGTGCGTTCAACAAGGAGTCCTCTTTAGCTTTACTGCGTTATGAAACATTCTCTGTGGAGATTTATGTGGCAAATGCAACCAGGAGAGTCAGAATAACGTGCAATTTTCTGTCTACATTGCAGGAAAAATTAAGGAAACTGCTTGTCTGTGCTTTGAGACTGCAATTTCTTTACAAAAGGTAATGATTTGTTAAAAAAAGAAGTGATAATTTCCTTTTTCTTTTGAAATTCTTGGGTATACAGTAAAAGTGAGGTCAAATCTTGCAATCACAACATTTCATACATTTCCAGCGTGTGATAATTGAATCCTGTTTATGCCAACACACACCAAAACGTCTGGACGACTACATCACAGATTATGCGGGGGGGGATTCATTGCCAATATAGTATAATGCTGTACATTCATGGCTCAATATGGTGCCAGTCTTTTAACTAATGTACACAAACATTTACAACTTACACAATGTTTGTTAAGGTAGACAACCTCGACGAGTAAGAAATAAAATTAAAAAAGCCTTGTTGAACGCACCACATATTGGGGCACCAAACATTTTTTCACTGAGCTTTGTCGTCTGCTGACTGGAAACTGGAGCTAAATTGACCTGATGGGGTCTCAATAGATCATTATCAATATTCCCATCATTATCATCATCATTTTCCTAATTGTCGTCTACGTCATCCTCATCTCCGTCTTCTTCCAGCCATCCTCTTCGCAAGAATCCATTGAAACCAGCTCAACAAATCACCACATCAACGAATCACACCCAAACTACAACATATTAAAACTGAGCAAAACCAAATAAAGAATATTGTCTCTGTCAATTTTTTTGCTCCTCTTGGTCACAGAAAATGTCCATTCATTCCCCCAAAAAGGTCTTTTTTCATTTTTTGGCAAAGTTAAGTTCCAATCTTTCTCCCCTTTTTTGTCCGTCCCATGGTTGGGAGTCAGCGGTGGTCCATCATCGCTGAAGCAGCAGGATGGCCAATGGGAGCAGGAGTAGGAGGCTACAGAGGCGGGTTTGAGACGTGGCTGCGCCTCTGACTCGGTTGTTGTCGGGCGAATAAGCGTACAGTCCCGGTCTGTTCCGAGAACACTGACCACCTATGCACATCCCGCTTCCTGAGCCACTGATGTCATCACCTGGAGAGGTTATAGGAGAGAGACGGGAAACACATTTTTAAAAAAAAAAAAAAAGGGTCTATTACTTAATCAAAGAAGATGAGAAGGAGGTATGTTTTTCTTTTCTTTTTTAGTCCTGAAAGATGTCACCTTCAATTGCTCCTGATTAGCCCCCAATTTTCAACTTGCAAGTGGTAATTACTGAGCGGGGGACCATTTGACCTCCATGAATGGATTCAGTGTTTTAATTAAGTTTATTGGTCATTAGTTGGGAGTCTTTGGCCCTCAGTTCCCCGTTGTCATTAACTCTGGTTTAACAAAGGGAATCAGACCATTAAGTAACTTCATGCAATGGGATATTTGTGGAGAAACATACCACAATGGACAAGATGTGTCATGTTTAAAATATTACCACTGTACAAGTATTAGAAAGGGACCCACTTGCATCCTGGAAGTCCACGTCGTTGCCATCCAGTGCGTTTTTCAGCCTGTTGCTCATGATTTTGAGTTGCATGATCTGCTGCCGGATGGTCATGTCTGGCTTTGTGATGTCAAGCTCCACTTCTGGGTTGTTGATCTGATTGGCCAAGCCGTCACCCATCACCTCTGGAAGGTACCTGATTGGAGACAGAGGAAGAATGTGTGGTGACATCATTAGGGCTGTTCTGTTTTTTGGGGTAAACAGGAGAACAGCTGGTTAATGGTCATTTTATAAGCTCTACTGAAAACACATGCATGCACTCACTCAGTTTATCTGCACAGCTGTGCTCAATCTTGTAAATTAGATGTGGCACTTTGTGCTGACAGCGCCTGGTCAGCAGACAGACTCAAGTGCACAAATAAAACTCACATAAGCAAACAAACACACACACACATGCTTGTACTTCTGCACTTTTGAGGACTCTCAGAGACAAGAGTACTTAACCAATTTATCATCACAGTGCTGGACTCACAATGGACGGTTTGCTTTTTATCAACATCGATGCATTACAACCAGAGATGTTTTTTATTCCATGCATTATTCTTCCTTGGCAAAAACCTTCCCCACAATGTAAGTCAACCGCTGACAGGTCGATTAGAGATTTAGGTGTGGTTTGCTAGTAGCAGCTAATATATTATATATAATATATAATGGAGTTGCTAGCCTCAACCAGACATGAGTAATGGCCTACAGAGTTCTAGTGAACTCCAAACAACCAGATCTTTTTTATTTTCAAACGTGTAGTCTTTCTCTAATTTAATTTGATTAACACTCATTTACTATTGTTCCAATGGAACATAGATCTTTTTATTTTGAATGATTAATTTGGGAAAACAATAAAATGTCATCACTTCATCGTTAATGTCCAGCTGTAACTCCAACTTTAACCCTAAATCATTCGTCCACTACATACTGGTCATTATAAGAAAGCCCTTCAATGGGTTTTCAATGAAAAACATCCACAGTCCTTTTAGTACAGAAATAATAGGCCAGTCTGAGTTAGATAAATCAACATATATCTCCCAAGTTACTGTTTGTTTAGTAAGGAAATTCCCCTGATGCACGACTGTGGATTTCGTCCCCCATGTCTTCTACTGAAAGGAAGATATTTCTTAATGGGCAGTATGAGGAATAATAACAGCAAGAAAGACTGTTTTAGTCTTCATATGAGACATATGAGACAGACTTGGAAAACATGTGAACCCATCCTTTAACACCTAAATGTCCCTTTACAGAAGTGAGAAGTGGAAATGTTCTCACTTCCAAAAAGTGCCTTAATTTAAAGTTTTAAACTTAAGTTTAAACCTCATTGTCCTCACAAAGATAGAGGGACAAAAACACACACAAAAACACACACCATGTGCTTTGTGGTGGGATTTAATTTATGTTCTCGAAGCTGCTCAAAGTTTTAAATAACCCTATTTAAAGGCGATACTCCAACCTTATATTCCATCTTCCACTCTGAGAATTTATTAGAGCTGTAATTTTTGTGTGTGACATTTATTGAGCTCTCAAGAAATCCACAAGATGTCGCTGTAGAGTTTCAAACAGTTCATCACGGTTATGATTCACTCGCTGCCACACAGACACACACAAATTTCATATATCCTTAATCTGTCGCACACAGTCAGCGATTCATCTATTTTTCATGGCCTTTCTCGCCTTTTTCTCTCTCATACACACACATATCTATATTTCATGCCTTTTGACTGTCATATATCTTCTGAGTGTTCTGCTCAGCATAAATCTCATCAGTTGGCTGCAATCCAACCACTTTAAAGCATGCAAGATGTGTGTGTGTGTGTGTGTGTGTGTGTGTGTGTGTGTGTGTGTGTGTGTGTGTGTGTGTGTGTGCAGTGGGGTGAGACAACATGTATACATATCAGCATGGCATCAAATTGTTCTATAATCCGTTCAAACATTTAAGGGGGGGCTGAAAAATGCGTAGGTTTGTGTAAGCGTGTGGCCATGAATGCTTGTGCTGCAGGATTTGAATCTCCACGGGCTATTGAATCTCTGTATCTGGAAAGAAATGTCAGGTCAGAAAATCTTAGAATACATTTCCATACGCCGCTGTTGGTCCGAGAAGAAAAAGCTTGTTGCCTCTTTTGTTAGGACACAAAGGCAAACGGCCTTCAACGGGAAGAGAACTGGCCTGTATCGTAGCAACTTTATCAAAAGCTTGCTCTCTCCTCTCCTTGCTTTATTCTCCTCTCTTCAGAAGTCTCTTTGAGCTTTTAAGTGCTAAAGAAACACAAGTTTCCTTTTTGTGATACATCTCCATGCTCCAGAACTTGTGCTGAACAGATTTTCCAGAGTTTGAAATGTTTTTTTTAACATTTCAGTACATTCCAGTTTTCATTGGTGAAATGATTTAAAACAGAAATGTATAAAATCCAGGAAATATTTGAATGTTGAGTTTAAATAAAATCTGGTCAAACCATATCTAGACACAGCCTGGGTGTGAGGGGCATTTTGAAGTCTGGAGAAGGCGCATTTAAACATGCTTAAGAGTGGTCAGTGACAGGCAAAGAGTAGGTTTCTTCCTCACCTGGCTTTGGTAATGCCATTCCAGCATTTATCCTGACCGGCGCCTCCTGCTGCCAGTTTGCTGCACAGTGCCACAGGGAGCTGGGTCCAGTACTGCCGCATCTCCCTCAGTTTACTGGACAGATCTGACACCTGAAGACAGAGACAATTTCAGAGGTGAGTCACAACCCTAATCCTACAGTCATAATGGTTTTTAATCACATTTAATACCATTTCAAATGACACCGAATACCTGTAGTGAATACAATGAATGTAAATCATGATTTATTTTAAAGCTTAACCACTGTAATACATGGATAGTCTTGACAAAGGCATCCACATACAACATATACAATAACCACCTTGGATGTAGTCTGCACATAAAAAAACATAAGAGGTGCAAACATGGCCAGGAATTCATCCATGAAATAATACACCTTTTCATGCAAAGAAAAATCAATGCTACCACTGATGCTGAAATAATCCTTTCCTCTCCTTTCTCCACATGTAAACCTTGAACAGCAAAGAGAAATTCTGCTATTAACTCAGATCAGTCGTGTAAAATCACATGAAAACAAGTGCTATGGCTTTTGTTCACTTTTCTTTGTTTCCTGTGCTCTGAAAATGATCTTCACATTCACACAGGTGGAAATATGCAATCAAGCATACAGTACATATATATATACACATATATATATACACACACACACCTGCATCTCCAGTCTGAGTCCAGCAGTTGGAGAGGGTTTGTACTCTGATGCGGTCAGGGAGCCGCTCTTCTTCCTCTGCTCATGAAGGGTGGGACTTCCTGTTCCTGGTTCACCTGGAGTTCCACAGGTCTGGTACACCTGCACACAAACACACAGATACACAGACACACATCAACACAACTTTAGTTTAACAGCTAAAATCACACAGCTCTACAAATTACTTGTTCGTTTGTGTTGCACCTTTTGTGAGAACTTAGAAAATCCACTAGATGTCGCTATAGGACAGTTTTTGTGTCTGTTTGGGCTCCAGATTAATTTCTCTATCCATGGTCTGAACGTTCAAGCACATAGCATTGCTGTTGCCTGTAAGTACTAAAGGGGCTAATATATATGGAAATATTTATATATGTGTGATATATACATTAATATAAATATTATATTAGCCTAACCTCTATCTCAGGTATCCTCAAGGTAAGCACTCCTTGAGGATAATAAGTATTTGAATGATTTTGATTATTCAAGCACAAGCTGGTGTCTGACTGGAGATAAAAATGCTCTTTTAGTAAGTGCTGAGAAAAAGTGAGACGTCTTACTTTTGCTGTGAACGTGTCCATGTTTTCCTGTAGGAAGTGAACAGCCTCATAGATTCGAGCAGGGATGGAAGAGAGAACCACGTCGAGGCTGGGCTCCGTGCTGAAACTAGAGGCAACCTGGATCATCGTGTCTGAATGGAGGAAGGAGCGAAAGAGAAAAGAGAATATTTTTTTATAGGGGTGCAAAACTGTAACTGTAATTTGTATCACTACATTTACAGGTTACCAGGAACTATATTCAGCTGTTGGAGTAACAACTGGGAACTCCAAGTTCCTCTGCTAAAATCAGTAAGTGTGCAAGCTGTGATAAGCTGATATGGTGAGTAGAATATTAATTTTGCATTAAGTTTGTCTTGGCTATAGTTTCTATTTCAGTTAATTACGAATAAATTAATTCAGATAAGCCGCTATGATGAAGTGTTTTTCCGTGTGTAGAAAGGCAGACTGTTGTGTGGTTTTTGGATGAGGTCCAATGTGTGTTCCTGGGATCCACTCATACGAACATCTGGATTACCCCGAGCTTTACTCTACAATGTCTCACATTACGGTCTGAATCTTACCTATAAGGGTCTGCCACTCAGGGTCCAGGTCAGCCTGGTTGGCCAGGCAGCCCTTCATGACATTGGAACAGTAGTTGGAGCAGGGTTTGACGGAGGCCACACCGCGACAGTGGGGGCAGTACACCAGCTTCATCAGGGCCTTCGTACACTCCGGACTCATAGAAACCTGGGGAAACAGCACAGTTAGCCCCACAGAGCTCAGGGCCAGCAGTGAAAGATGGACATTTATATCCAGAGTCACTTACTGAATGATGATTGTAAGAATATATGAATACTAGGTCCTGTTGGGAAATGTAGTTGTGTCTCAATTCAAAGTGGCTGTTTAGCTCTTTCCCCCAATAGGGAATACTCTGTGATGGCCATGCACAAGAGTACAAATAGCTCAAGGAAAAGAATAAACAGTAGAGGGCAGTATTGCAGCATTTTAAGGGACACAGCCTGAACAAGACAGCAACTATGGCTCTCCTTGTCAGTCTTTATACAGTACATGGTTTATGTTACACTGTCAGCTTCTAATTATGTACATGAAAGGTGTCCAGTTCCACAAAGGAGTTATTTCACCACTACTCTGCACAGATGTGATGAAGGGACACTCAAAAGCAACTCCAGTGTGAGTGTGTTAAGAGAGACTGTGCCAGTATGATTTAAACTATGATTTTGATAACTATTTTTTAGTTGTATGCTATACAGTTTTACATGTTTGGATGCATTTTCCTACTGGCCTTCACAAATATAAGTGTATTAGAGTCTTGAAAGTTGCGTGAGTTGTATAATGCATCACTGTCAACGTCAAGTCTGCATTCATTTGTGTCAACGTTACATTATCGCTGTGCGGTAATGTGGTTTAAGTGCTGACTGATTTAAAAAGTCTGCACTCACAAAGATAATGTAGCTTTGACAAAAATTAATGCAGACATGAGGTTCACTGTGATCCATTACAGAAGTCAAATGAGTTTCAAGAATGTGCTTTGACTATTACATCAACTGGGATGAATATAAAACAATGGATGCCTGGAACTGAAAGGCACATTTCTCAAACGCAGCACAATGTTTCGCTAATTGATTATCTCTGATGCGAAGTACTGAATATGTGAGCTGTGGAAAATAGGTTGAAAAATCACTGGTATGATCCTTTGAATTGCAGATTTGGAATGAAGTTTACACACTAAATCTAGCATAGTGCGAGGGAATGAAGGAAGAAGGGTGTTGTTGTGACCATAAAAGCTACGGCAAACATTAACAATAGCCTTTTCATGACAGTACAAACTCAGACATCTGAGTGTTGGGAAAAAAGACTGCACGGAGAGCTGAAATAACATCATCACACCCATAATTTGACAACAGTGTTGTCATCCCTCCAAATGAGAGCTTTGTTCTGATGGCACTTAATTTTTGATGATCTTTGTGTTTTTAATTTTTAGGGTGGAGACATTTTCTCTGACAGTTAGGGTGTGACGACCGCGCATCCATCATATCTGCTTTCCTGGGAGTCAGCCACGCACACACACACTCTGACAAACACTGACTCAGTTTCTCTCACACCAACTCATCCTGTCTCTCTCTATCTGCCTCACTCTGTCTCACGCGCACACACACACACACACTCACCTGTGAGACCTTCCTGACCACCTCTCCGCTGACAATCAACCCCTGGACAAACGACCTGGCTGTGACAAAAGCCCGGATCACCTTCGCCTTCATGTCCCGCGGGACGTCTCCAAATGGCCGCAGCGTCTCTTGTTGCTTAGCAACGCATTCAAGGTAGTCGTCTGAAAGGTTGACCTGCCAGACAGAGGTGACACAGGGGGAAATGGAGGAGAGGAGATGTTATTGTTTATTTGGCCATTTTTGCCCTCATTATTATCGCATATTACAGGACTGACAGTAAACGGAGGAGAAGGTCCAGAGTCCAGTCCAGGACGTCATTAAGAGAGATTTATAAATACTTCTTACTTCTCCTCCACACAGATCAGCTCTGGTTAGGTATTTAACTGTAATAACAGATGAAAATTGTGCAAGTGATGTATCTAAAAATGGAAATTCCATCATCTTATCACATTGTTCAAATGTTTATCACATTCTCTTTATGAGCCAGAACAGAAACAGGGGCTGAGGAGATGCAGTTTTATTATAGCACCTTTTTTTTTTATTCCTAAGATTACTCTTTTCATCAGTCTGTGCACCAGTCTGTCATTCAAAATTTGGCTTCTGGTGTGTCTTTACTCACATCTGTGGGAGAGGAGGTCTTAAAGGTGCGCTCCAGGAGGCGCGACCAGAACTCAGACAGGGTCTCGTCAAGGTTGAGAGCGGAGCCCCGGTAGTACTGTCGCAGGTCAGTGTAGAGATCTCCATAGAGACGAGTGTTCTGGGAGTACAGGGGGCCGAGTGGAGACAGCGCCTCTTGGAGGGAGCGCTCAGAGCGACCGTGCAGTTCAGTGAAATAGGCTGAGAGGTGGGAAGAAAAGAAAGGACGATAGTTGAAAAGCAGAGGAATAAAATGAACAGGAATTAGATGCTGAATTCTCCACTATGTTCCCCAGCTAATCGCTAACTTTGTTGATGTGCTGAGAATCAAGGAGGACTGAAGCACACTGATTAATCCAAAGCCTTTAATTGTGCAAACAGACGTTTCGTCACTACTGTGTCAGAGTCAAAGTAAACAAAGACATGAGGCAAACAACGTCTAGTCAACCTAAACCAGGTGTACCTGATTGACATTGGATAATCCAACAGATCTGAACAGGATTTCAAATCTATTGGATAATAGCTGAGTGGGAGTTGCCAAAATCAGTGTCCCAGTGTCCATTTTGACTCTAGTCCTCCTTTATTCTCTGAAAGTGTGCTGTTTTTGAACTGAGAAGCATGATTCAGTTGCATTTAGCTGAAAGATGCACAGAGAACCCTGTTTCTACTAAACACTATGTGTCTGGCGCTGGGCAGGTGGTGTACAGAAGCTTTATTCACAGAAAAAGTAGATGCTTGTTGCCTCTGTAAATGTACTAATGAGAGCTGAAAGACTGAACCAAAACAAGTCGGGGTCCGTAAAACCAAAAAGACAATAAAATGCTCTTTAGAGCTGAGAGAACTGTAGAGCCAGGTGATGATTCTCTGTGGATTTGTCACTATGACCGACCCCTTCCACATTAAATATTCATCTGAACAATTGTTTATTTATAAATATTGATTAGTGCATTTTATTTCATAGGAAAATTTTCCAATAAATAGCGATTGAAATAGGGTTTAATGAATAAGGAATTAGCTCCTCAGGCCAATCATATCAGTGGATAATGGCTTTGGATGTGTGTTGTATGGCATCAGAATACTAATGTGCATTAATCTGTTGTCAAGATTATCACAAATAACAATTAGTTTAATGTTACTATTACTTCTTGTAAGACTCCTGATAGTAAAGTATATTTTTCACAGTCAGCACGCTCATTTAGTCTCTTTACACTCTGACACTGATTAGCACATATAATTTACATTTATTTTACATTTTTAAAGGTTTCTTTGAAATGTCCTTCCCAGACAGATGGATACAAAGTGACAGAGGTCAAACAGAAATAATAAGGTAGTCAGTTCGCTGTCTCTGCAGTATACTGGTCTGGGCTTTTCCCTCATGCTTCAAAGGCTGTGTACCAGTGCCAGCCTGTTCTAACCACAACCAGATGGGCGGCCACATTACTGCTACTGAGGTGGCCTGCTGCCTTGAGACTAATAATACTGTCCTCCTCCTCCTCCTCCTCCTCTCACTACTCTTCCTCCTCTCACTAGTCTTCCTCCTGTTCTCTGTTTCTCTGCATTCTTCTCTTCTTATTATTGTTTTTTATTTTGACTCACTGTTTCTACTCAGTACTAATGACGCATTTCTCACTTGCTGCATTTGTCCGTCTCCATATTGTTAGCGGTGGCACTTCTCAGTCTTTCTTTCTTTTCTTCCTCCCTCCATCCCTCTCTTTCTCTGATGTGCAGTGATCTGCAGACTCGGCTCCTCAGTGGGTCAACTGCTCATTAGCTGAACCAGCCACTGCCCCGGGGGACACCCCTCTGTTAGTGTGTGTGTGTGTGTGTGTGTGTGTGTGTGTGTGTGTGCCCCTTTGAGATCAGGGGATCGGCTTATCACGTTTCATTGTGTCTGGCTGACTCCGCTCTCATTATAACACCCAGTCAGGGGTCCCCTTGACGCACAGGACACAAACACATCCTGCCTCACATACACACACACACACACACACACACACACACACACCATCACTATTGAAGCTGCCACATTGAGCGCTGAGCACAGTCGGAGCTTGTACCAAACACAAATTCCCAAACACACAACATACAAATGTCACACTCCTCTGGGTCCACTGCTGAAGCTTTGCTATTGAGCTCAGCCAGTAATGAATGTCTATCTTACAAACACACACACACACACACACACACCCACTACTTACTGTCAAAGCTCCTGTGGAGAGCGTTGAAGGCAGACTGCAGCGACCTGCCGGCCTCTCTGATCAGTCCCTCTGTCTCTTGGGCGCTCAGACCGGCCAGGTTGTCCTCCATGGAGCTGGTACAACAGGTTGGACCCTGAGGACACACCCTCAGATGTTCACCTAGCAAAGTGGGAAAGACACAGAGTTAATTCATCTAATTGTTTAATTCAATTAATTTACATAATTTGAATCGTTGAATATGTCAGTTAATTTACCACCAAACCAAACAAGCCTCAACAGCAGGCTTAAATAAATGGGTGTTAAAGTAATTGTAAAGGCAGGTGTCTAGTTTTTATTAACAACATTAGTGCAACCACTCTGCTTCAGACTGAAATATTTCTACAACTATATGATGGATTGCCACTGAATGTTGTACAGACATTAATGGTTTCCAGAGGATGAATCCTACTGACTTTGGTTAACTGACTTTTCCTCTAGCGCCACCGTGAGGTTGCCATTTGTGGTTTTGATAGAAATATCTTGACAATTAGTGGCTGTATCGGCATGACATGACTTTTCAGTCCAACCCCCCATCATCAGGAAAATCCCTTCAAAATAAATGACATTCTCATTCCCATCAGACTCAGCTGTGCTCTCTGTTTGGTACCAAATAGTGTAATGCTAAAATTCAAAGCTAAGATGGTGAACATTATATCTGCCAAACCTCAGCATGTTAGCATTCTCACATTAGTCTTTAGCTCAAAGCTGTGCCTATAAGATGCACTAGATGACAATGAAAAACATCATATAGAAGCAGCCACCTGTGCATACTGGTAATTATAAATTCCATACAACTTTGACACTTTACTGTTGTTGTTGGTTATTTTCATGGGAGACGTTCTACTTTAATTTTTCCATTTTTAGGAAACAATATCCAAAGTTTAACCTGTTAACTTTATTTACAGCTTTGTTAGCCTTATGAATGTATAACGTTAATAGTTTCAAAATAGATAAAAGCCTCTGCAGAAATAGCTCCAAACCTCCTTCTTCTTGTGACCCCTTAAAATAAATACAACCATTTCTAACAGGTTTTAAGTCTACCAGAGGTGACCAGTTAAACCAAAGTACTGTAAAGGATCGTGTAACTCTGAAACTGATCTGAAAGCATAAAATTGTTTAATACGAGGTTTTTGTATGATAATAACGGTGTGACACTACTTACTACTACTTACAAGGGTTCACTTTTACAACGTACTGCTTACATCCATAATTCAGCACTTTCAAAGAAAACAATATTTATTATGAGTACGTTAACTATGGATACTAGTTCTGCTAATACTCGTTCAAATGCCAAAGTTGAGTGTTTTTTCCAGTGCGGTTCTGCTACTTTTGCTTCAATAAACGATTTGAGTGCCTCTCACACCACTTCATGAATCATTTATTGCGCTCTTGGAATCCTTTTATATCTAGTTACCAACCACAAAAGCACTCTGTACAGTTTACACAGTATACTTGATTTTTATATATATAGCAGCCGTGTTTGTCTCTTTCTCTATATCCACTTACACTGTATGTTCTGTTCTGTACATTTCTTATGGACACTATGTGGGTACACTGAGAGTCACTGACAACCAGATTTAAATTTGTTGTATTTTAATTTGATGCATTAAGAAACTTAATTTTGATTCTGCAATTAAAGCCTGTTTTTAACCTTTTTGAACCACATTATAAGAATACTTGATTACAAGCGCTGAATATGTATTATAACAGTATTGAAAGAAACATTTAAAAGTAAAGGTACTCACTCCATTCACAGTGTTATATTTATTACTTACATATTATTGGACTATTATTAGTGATGCAATAACACGTAAGAAGCGTTTCAATGTTATCAAGGTGGATTTTATTTTAATATCCTTTAATACAATTTGTTGGGTTGTTGTTCTATAACAATGCATCATAAACTAATCTTAAGTTTTATATGTAAAATCCTAATCTGAAATGTAAATACTGACAGCTGTGAAATAAATGTAGTAGAGTAGAAGTATAAAGTAGCATAAAATCGAGTACCTCAAATATGCACCTAAATACTTGAGTGATAATACTTACATTCCACCACTGCAACCTCTCTCCTTACGACTATCAAAATAATGGAAAAAAATGCATCAAAAATAGTTAAAAAGGACAGAAGTGCAACACAGAAACTCTGCAGGGATGAATGTTGAGAATAATAAAATAGTTTTTTACTGACTCTTCCCTCCAGCCAATAACTAAACCCTGATCACGACACACCCAACCTAATCCTGCTTCTTTCTATTCTTATGGGGATACTCCCACGGGGGAGAGTAAAAATAAAGATATTTTGCACACTTTCTCTCTCTCTTTCACACACACACACACACACACTTACACTCTGCCAGACAGCCTAGAAAGCAGTCTGCAGCATCAGTCTCTTGACAGCCTGGATGTGTGTGTGTGTGTGTGTGTGTGTGTGTGTGTGTGTGTGTGTGTGTGTGTGTGTGTGTGTGTGTGTGTGCGCCAACGTCTGGGAAGGTTAAGGGTGAGTAAGTACCCCACAGCTGTGTGCATCACTGCTCTCTCTTTCTTCTGAACAGGTCCTAGGTTGGTGTGTGTGTGTGTGTGTGTGTGTGTGTGTGTGTGTGTGTGTGTGTGTGTGTGTGTGTGTGTGTGTGTGTGTGTGTGTGTGTGTGTGTGTGTGTGTGTGTGTGTGTGTGTGTGTGTGTGTGTGTGTGTGTGTGTGTGTGTGTGTGTGTGTGTGTGTGTGTATGTGTGTGTGTGTGTGTGTGTGTGTGTGTGTGTGTGTGTGTGCGCGTGTGGGTGTGGGATTGTGTGTGTGTGTGTGTGTGTGTGTGTGTGCGCATGCGTGGGTTGGGAGGCAGAATTTGTCCATGAGGGTAAGTGGAGCAGAAGAGGAGACGCCTTCATCATCACTGCACCATGAATCTTTCATTGGCACTGGCTGTGTGTGTGTGTGTGTGTGTGTGTGTGTGTGAGAGAGAGAGAGAGAGAGAGAGAGAGAGAGAGAGAGAGAGAGAGAGAGAGAGACTGGCAGCTACTGTACAGGAAATAACCTTCCTTCTTTTCTCACATCCCTTTTTGGGATGCTTTAAGAGTTCTTTTTTTCTTTATTACAAAAATAAGAGGCAGCAAGGGAAAGAGAAAGTGGAATACAACTCTGGAGCTGGAGTTGAACCCTCACACACACACACACACACACACACACACACACACACACACACACACACACACACACACACACACTCCACAGATCAACCAGGATGCTCATTTAATATTCTCATTACTTACAGTGCTACTCAAGTGTCAAGTGCAGGTCAGTCAGTCTGAGATGAGACGCTTCACTCCTCTGAACACCATCAATCAAAATCACTTTCTGCAAATCACACCTGTTTTTTTTTTTCTTTCACTGAGCTGTGTGCCTGATTAAATAAAGTTGGAAAAATGTAAGTGTGTCCTCACACTGAAGCTGTGAATTTTCACACGACTCCCACAATCCTGTCAATCCAGTTCCAAGAGAGAACGTCTGCATCAGCTCTTTGTAATTATCAGTGACTGCTCATGTCAACATCTGAGTAGTTTTTAATGCATGCTACTGAAAATTAACAGCTGTACAATCTCATACAATCAGTTACAATATCACTACAAAGTACAAAGATCTTGTTGCTTATTCATATAATTGTGCACCCACCCAACCTTTAAGTCAAAGTGAAACCAAAACTCATTTTTAGAAAAAAACAAGAAATCAGTATAAAAAAACCGCGTTTTGACTTATTGGTCAAAATTGTAATTAATTATGATAGCAGCCTGTACATTTTTATTAGTTTTATTGGTGTGAAATAAGACAGCAGTTATTACAATCAATTCACATTAGAATCGCAATTTGTTTCTTCAATGATTCTGAATCAGTTCACAAGACCTCAAAATGTTTTTTGGGCATAGCTAACGACTCTTCAGAGTCATCTTATACTGTAGTTCCTCTTTAAAGTTTGGGCCCATTTTGGATTTAATAACTCAATGATCAGCTTTGCAAGACAAAGGTGTAGTATTTTGAATAAAGGTAGGCTACTTTCTTCATCCTGAAGTGGAATTGTGGCATTACAGCAGCCAAATTACACAAAAGAATCACACAAAAAAATAACATAAGGACTCAAAGAGGTAGATAAGAAATAATTCATAAAAAACAGACGAATGGAATCACCTGCCGAGTATTTTTTGAATGTGACTGCACTTTTCCAGTTTCCAATGATAACTTCCCATCCAGCGCAGTCAGGTTATCTCTATCATAAACTAATAATTCATTCAATTCATCCAAATGACAAACAGCGAATGTGGGGCCCTGCTGCAGTTGCCTGGTTAGTAATTCAGCCTTACTGCTTGTCTTTGTAATGGCAGCCCTGAAATGTCAACCTGCTGCTGTGCAAAAAAAAAAGCCTACCCAGAGGCTTGAAGCCTGGACGCTGTTTCCACAGAAAATGGCTCGAGCAGTAGCACAGTTATCATTATAGATTATATTTCAAATTTCAGCTTGACTTAAAATCAACCCCTCTGACACATTCTCCTCAAAAATGGATGAAGAGAGGAGAGGAGGGGTGTGACACACAGTATCAATCAACGTCCAGTGTCAGCAATTTTTTCCATCAGGTCACCTTTCTAAAAACGTCTAGAGGGTTTCATATTCTGGCAGGATAAAGCCACATTCCTCTGCTGGGGTTTAAAACCACACCATCAGTGTTGCATTCAGGGACAGCAGACACCATACTTGGGTGCTTATGTGCGGCAGCCAATGTTAGCATTTTGTTGCTGGTTTGCTTACCAACCTAGACGACGCAGGGCGTTCACCACAGACACATATGCTTTACCGCATTCCTAGGTTGGCTGGTAATGGAAGCAGCTGGCTTCCTGCTATAAAAACTTAATTTACTTGAAAAGACCGAACCAAGCACAGCGGTGACACACTAACACATGTACAAAAAAGCAAGCTTGCAAACATGCTAATACGTGCAGACATGCAGACTGTTGTTGAGAAGTGGGGGAAATGGGAATGGGAATAAGTGCCTTGCTCAAGGGCTTCGTGATGGGAAATGAAAAGCTCTTTGGGCAACCATCTGCACATATTGAGAGAGCCAGATGATCAAAATGGT